ATCTACAATTACTTCAAAATAAACATTTTAAAATTATCTTGCTCTTATTAGGAAGATACCGACCAGAAATTGAGGTAGCAAGAACCAATTTTTCAAGAGAAAACCATGCAAAATTACTCCCTAAGAGAAAAAGGGACTGTCCCAGCTTCTCTCTCCCTTCTGTCTTCTGTTCTTTCCCTTCTTCTTTTCTTTCTTCCTTCTTTTCCTTCTGCCTTATTTCATCATTTGTCACAAATAAACCCTATCATCTCAAATAACAAGGATTACAGAAAAAGTCACTTGAATTTCCTCCCATATAAAGCAATATAATATACACAGAGATTAGTGATTAACTTGATCAAATTTTTGAAAATAATGATATGTTTCTTTAGGAAGATATTCGTTGTTTTCTGTGAGTTAACAGTATATATTTCCTTCTAAAACAGTAGTGAAACCTACAATTTTCCATGGTAACACACAATACATCTTTATTCCTGAAACAATCACATGCCTAAGGCCAAACCAGACAAGCCAGACTTTTTCCCTAGAAAAGAACGAGGCACAAATACTGCTTAATCAATGAAGTTAACAGTTTCCATTCTCCCACAGTATAATGTCTGGGATATTTCTTGCAGGGAGTAATGGCAGAAGGTAATATTTCTCAGAAGTACCCATTCTCTCAATTAAGATCATTAATCATTCTACTCCTTGAAAATATTACAGCAGAAAAATATTGTACTGCATGTTAGATACTATTTTCTCTATGTCAATGGTAAAGCTAACTAAAGAATAAGAATAGGCAAGTCACTAAAAAAAGACTTACCAATTGAAACTCCAAGAAAACAATAGTCAATTCTACTGGTAACAAGAGAAATGTAAATCTTCTTTCAATACAGGAGATACCTTTTTGTTTTTTGTTTTTGCCTATCAGAATGGCAGTATCTAGTGTTTGCCAGAATGTCATAACATAGTTTGTGAGGAGGTATATAAATTGGTACAAAGCTTAAGGACAAATTAGTAATATGATATAAAAGCCTTAAAAATGTGCATAACTTTTACCCAGCAAGTCCATACCTAGGATTTTTATCCCGAAAGAATAATTATAAATATAAAAATAACCTAGCTTACACATGTCTTCATGATCTATTGCTGCATTTAGTAGCTTAAAACAATACCCATTTATTATCTCACAGTTCTGCAGGCCAGAAATCCGGGTGAGCTCAACTGGATCCTCTGCTTAGGATCTCACAAGGCAGAAATCGAGATGTTAGTTATCTGGAGGCTCTGGGGAAGAATCTGCTTGCAAGTTCATTCAGGTTATTTGCAGAATTCAACTTCTTGTGGTTGGAGGACCGAGGTCCCTGAGTTTTTTGCTGGCCCGTCAGCAGAGACTGCTCTCAGCTCCTGGTTCAGGTCCTTGACTGTGGCCCTTTTCATTTCAGCAAGAGAGAACCTTCCTCCTGTCAAATCTCTCTTACACTTCACATCTCTCGCCTTCTCTGCTGCACCAGCAAGAGAAAACTCCTTGCTCTTAAAAGGCTCCTGTAGCAGTTTAGGCCCATCCAGATTATCTCCCTTTTGATTAATTTAAAGTCAGCTGGCTACATCTGCAAAATCTCTTGTGCATGTAATACATGATGAGAATGATGTCCTATCATGCTCATATGGGAGGGAATTATACAAAGTGAGAATCATTGGAAGTCATCTTAGAATTTTACCATACAACCATATTCCTCACATTGTTGTTTTTTAATTACAGACCAAACAGGAAAGAACCTAAATGTATAAAAAGGACTAAGTAAATAAATTAAGAAATACATATGCTGAAACACTACTAAGCCACTGAAGGAGAATATTTAATGATATGAAGAAAATTCCATAATATCTTAAGTGAAAAAAGCAAAATGCAAAACTGTATGGCAACAAAACCAACATATACTGTAAGTTACATAGGGGCAGAGGCTCATGGCTATTCCTATAGTGCTTAGTGCCCAGCAAACAGTAGGTTCTAAATAACAATTTCTTAAATAAATGTAGGAAAAGTATATATGCATAGAAAAAAAGACACTGACAAAATGTTGAATGTTAATTCTAGATAAAGGAATTATGAAAAACTTCAGTTTTTTCTCTTTGTAGTCAGAACAATTTCTACTCTTATATTCTACTCCGACTACTATTCACTATTCTTTAAATGTTCCATTTATCAGTATCCTCTAACAAAGGTTTGTTTCCAGATAATTACATTGTGCAATCATTAACTAAATATGTCTCCATGAAAAGGGAGGTGATGATGGAGAGTGGTATAATTATTGTGACATTACCAGAATTCCCCTAGAAAAGATGTGAAGGTAGCACCTTTTTCTTTCTCTTGAGGAAATATTTATATGCAGCATACAGTATTCAACATCTAAAGTGAAGAAAAAAGGTTTTGTGCACTTTTAACTCATTGAGAAAGGAATAATATTCTTTAATTTGTTGCCCCCCTTTGTGGTCAATAAATGAAATATAGGCTGTCAGAGTTCCCACAAGCCAAGTGACTAAATAGCACCCGATTTTTCAAAAGCTGAATAATAACCAATAACAGTACAAAGGCAAATTAGTAGATAACCCCATGTCATAAACATACAGAGAAGATAACTATTACCTTTTTTCTTACCTCTCCAAACATAGATGCCAATTTAGAGAAAAGAAGTAATCTATTCTTCCTAAGAGAATGAGCAGGCAGAATTCCCCAAACTCTAGGGCAAAGAAAAAAAGAGAGGGAAGAAGGAAGGAAGGAAGGAAGAAAGAAAGAAAGAAAGAGAGAGAAAGATCCCCATCAAAGCGGGGTTAGATTTAAAATAAGGTCTTTCTGTCAGCATCAAAAATATCCCCCAAATCAAAAAAAATACCAGTTACTGCTTCCTTTTTCCAAAATAAATTACATAGAATTTCACTGTCTTCCATCACCAGCTGAAGTAGCTTCCAGTGTTTTCTTCAAGCCAACCTACATTCTAATTTCCCTTGGGGCAGCAGAAATCATGGGAAGAGTAATCCTGTGTGGAGCCTTGCACTATGTATGAGAACTAATCACGTGCAGTACCAGAATCACACCAGACTGGAGAACCTAACATGGTTAACCGCACCTTCACCAAACAGGAATTAGCATGAGTTCCAAGCAGTTCGGAATCCATCTGAATCTCTATCAAAAACACAACAGCTGCCAAGGAAACTATCCAGCTAAGGACAAATAATTAAAGCAAATGTCCACCTTTCCAATTTAAGAAACACCTCTGAGTCTAACAGTTTAATAGTTAGACTAACTCTAATGAAGCTAAGCATCCCCAAACTCAAGAGACACCTGGCAGGAATCCTTAAGGTGCCAGCCAACTCAAACAGTCAAGTACAGATCATTCAAGCACCACTGAGCACTACTATGCTCCTCTTCCTAATTACCCTTCTGAAACTAAGAATACTTGTACTTAGCTGCTAAGTTCCATTCTGTTCCTATACAACAAGAGCAGTAATTATTCTAGATTGGGATCCTTTCCTTATAATTGAGAAGACTAACATGATGGCTTTGAACAGAAAAGTCCACAGTAGGCTATAGAACTGAAGTTACAGTTTGAGTGAACTGGCATATACATTTGCTCTTCTCTTTTTGTTAAGGACAAAGCCACTTAAGATGAGGGTCCTTAATACACAGATTCATGTTTTGAGACTTCAATACCTTTTTTTGACAGAGGAAGTGTCCTGGAGATCTCAGCCGATAAATAATGTTACTTACTTTTGAAACTTTTGTGTCCTCAGGGGTATTTACTATTCACGGATATGGGGAAGATATTTGCACAGGCATATATGATTCACCATGCTGAAACTCCCTAGAATTTGTAAAGGCAAAGGTCTATCTTTGGGCACTTAGCCATTAAAAATGTCTCATCAGCTAATATGACAAAGGCAGGTGAGAAGTACAGTCTAAAGAAGAGTAAATCCCACGGGATGCACTGTATTCCTTCGCATTTCTACAAGTGAAATGGCGGTAAAAATGAGCATGCAAGGCATTCAAAGGAAAAACAGTTCTGAACCTTGATGGGAGATGTATGTGGATGGATCAACTGTAGGTACTGTATGCAGATGAGCTTCAGGTGTGTCTAGCACCATTGTGCAGCCATACATTCCCTCCATTCAGTGCCGGGGGGTAGGGAGAGTATCCACAGTACAAGTTGGGCTCAGAGAGAAAGGATTGTTCAGCGGTTTCTGCAGACAGGGCAGTGATCTACCTAAGAAGAAACGGGGCGAGCAAATAAAGCAGAACTCAGTCATCTGGATAAAGAAAGAGGAGCAGGAAAGAAAATGTATAAGGGGTCCACCGTCGGCGAGCGAGCAGCGCAGAGAGTGATTACAAAAACAGCAAGTCAAGAACTCAGGGATGCCAGGGTTGGAGCTCTGGTCTTCTTTAAGGGGGTGGGCGTGAGTGACGTGGCCGGAGTGGGGCGCTCCAAGCACCGGGGAAGCGAGGGTAAGGCGCCCGCATCCCGTCTGTTCCCTTAACCCCGCATTCCCTCCACCCTCCCACTCCCCCGCGGGACTGAAACCACCTTCTACGTGCTCTCCAGCAGCTGAGAAAGCTTTGGTTCTGTGATATGCGTGGCGGCGAGCTACGTCTACCTCCACCCTCCCGCCACCGGCTCACCGTCTGCTGGGGGGACGCCTAACGCGTGAAGCTGGGGTGTATGAGTGAGAAAGAAGGGATGCTGAGGGCTCCAGGAGACCTCCGACCACTCAAGACCAGGCCCGCGCGCCCTTCTGCAAGCTCCCGGCTCTGGCAGGTGCATTGGGACCCGGGCGCACACCCCTCTGTGATCCGGCCGCAGCCAGAAAATTACCCGGGCAACAGCACCCGCGGGGCCCCGGATGTGGTTGCTAGGGCCGCAGCGGGAGGGGCGGGGCCAGCCTCCAGGAGAGGGGCGGAGGAGGCCTCAAGGGAGGCGCGCTGGCACCATCGAGATGTGGCTGGGCCGGGCCGGATTGAGGGAGAGAGAGGCCGTCCAAGGCCAAGGACAACGCTACTTCCGGTCTCCTCACTTCCGGCTCCGCTGCTCTCTGTGTTGGTGCTGCAGGCCGGGTTGAGAGGCTGCCGGTCTGAGTGTCCTCGCGGTTGGTCAGTGTGAAGCTGTGACAGCTGCAGTTGCTCCCCGCCCCCGAGGACCCGAGGTGCGTGGGGGGAGGGGAAGAAGGAAAAGGCCCAGGTCGCGTTTCCGCTCACTTGGTGCCCGGTTTGAGGCGATTCCAGAGAGCCGCGGCAGGGATAATCCTCGACGTGAGAGCCGCCGAGTTCCCCCGCAGACAGGTGAGGGCGGAGCCGGCCCGCAGGGAAGGGAGGGGCAGGCTCGTCCGAGGTAGTTGGCGGGGGCGGACACTTTGCCTCTGGAGCTTTCCGTTCCGGACTTTCACTGGACACTGTCCCTAGGCTGTGCTGTATCTGCCCAAGTATTCGGCCTTTCGTTTCTGCCCCAACCCCCTGTGTCCCCGAAACAGCCGGTGAAAAGGGAGGACTGGCCCTTGCAAGGCTGCACTCTCTCATCCTTGCATGTGTTGGATGGGAAAAGGGGTGGCAGGATCCAGGTCTTTCTCGACGAAGTCTAGGAGTGGGCCACCTTCAGGTGTGATGATATCCCGTGTTAATTTTTCTCCTCTCTCTGCATCCCTTACTTTCTCTCTCCCGCAGCGAGAGGAATGGAGATAGTGATAGTCCCTCCCAGAGGTTCATGGGGCAATCAATGGTGCAGGTTGGAGCCTTGCCTAAGAAACGTCCCAAGTCTGTGCCTGTGAGGACGGCCAAGGAATGCTGCAGTTTGGGGAGGAAGTCGTGCCGTCGTTTTCTTGACCGTTCCTTTTTGCCAAGTTGGTGTTTACGTGTCTAGGAAAAGGAAAGATTTTTTTTTTTTTTAAAGAACAGTTTCTAGACGCTTTTCCTTTTTACTTTATTGCTTCCTCTTGTTTTTATTTCTCTCTTGAACCCTTTGATCTCAAAAAGTTTATAGTTTACACTTACTACAGCCCTTAAGCCATCCCCTTTTAGGATTTCTGTCTCCTCCCTTTGTTTTCTTCTAGATTAAAGTACGTAATTTCTCTAACTCGTTTCTTATCTTTGTTTTCCTTGCTCTACACGACCAACACCCTCTCCTGACCACGTCTCACACTCATTGAGAAAATAGAAAATATTTCTCATTTTATTATTTGAATGAAAATCTCTGCCTCCGTTACTTTCATTCCTTTTCAAATTAATAAATTAGTTTGCTTTAATCCTGGGTTATGCTTTGGGGTCCATAGTCTAGGAGTCTGTAACTTCCAGGGGTTTTCTCATCCCCACCCCTGAAATTATGTGCAGAACTTTGTTTCAGTGCATGGGGTCGGGGAGTTGGGGGAGAATGTCCATTTACAAAATCAAATTCTCAGAGGAGATATAAATCCTCCAGAGAGATTAAAAACCATTCCTTAGTGTCTTGTTCAAGTTAATGACAACTTTTTTTGTGGAGCTTTTATTTTTACAAACTGTAAATAGCTTGTATTGGGAGAGTAGAAAGCAGAGGTTCTAGCTTTATACTGAAATCTCTTAAGTACTTCAAAATGTCGGTGTTTCTAAATTCTTTCCTAGACCTAGAGAAGGAAGCAAGACTGCCTACTTATTTAGTTCCTGATTTGTGGTTTTGAGGTTTCTTTTTAGGGATAGCTGTTTGTGACCAGTGCTTTGGAGATCCAGTGGGTTTACAGATTAATGTGGTTAATTATTATGTAATACATATTAAATACCACCAACCTACTAGGTACAGTTCAGAACAAAAAATTTAATTTTTGTTGTTCTTTCTTTCATTTTCTTGTTTTTCCCTTGAGACTTTGGCTTTGCTAAGAATGGCAAATGAGATACTTAAGTAGTGTAGTTCTTAAATTTTTGGTATGTTGCTGCTTATCTTGTCATCCCCTTTCCTTCTCTGTATTAGGTATTTTAATGATTGTTCTTTCATGTGAATAAGTTAGTATCCCTCCATACTTAATGTGAGTTTAGAGTGTGTACTTGAACTTACTGATCTGGTTGGGAAATGTTTATTGGTTGAGGGTTGAAGTTCTAAACGTTTGCCTCTTGTTTCGTAGAATGTTAGAACTTGAAGAGACCTATACAGCTTATCATAGTTTGTGTAGAGTAACCAGATTCTTCTGCTCACAAAATTATTTTCCTGAAGTCTGTCATCACTTGGGGAAGCAGAAAACATAATTTTATAAAGAGTAGATTATGCTGAATTAGTTTCTTTCTAAGCTGATGACAAAGTCAGCGGATAGGTTATATCTGACACCGTACCAACAATTAACATTTTTTTTGCTTACTGTGTGCCAGGTATTATTTTAAATGTTCTACGTGACTATCTCATCTAATCCTCACGGCAGCTTTATAAGATGGCTAAAATCTCCATTTTTATAGATGAAGAAACTAAAACTAAGTGATTAACTGAAGCCAAAGTAATCTGCTCAGAAGCACACTGGTGGAGCCAGGATTGAACTTAGGTTGTTTGACTCCAGACTTGAGCTCTTAACTACTACTCTAGACTGCTACCATATTTCCTTTACATCATTTTTGGCATGACTTGGGGGTATCTCACCTTATTCCTATCAGCTGTTAATAAAAGAAGATCTTTTCCCTTATTCATCTTCATTAGGTAAACACCTTTTTGAATGTCATACCTAAAAGTATGACACAAAGAAATGAACTTGGTGAAAGCCTATGGAGTGTTTATTTGATAGAGTTTTCCCATGGGGATGGATATAAATCTGTGTGTATGTAGAGTGTGTGGGTTTATTATGACGTGAGGAGTGGAAAGTGAGAAAAAGGTTTTAAGTAATAAACTTGGCTTTGTAAGAGTCTGGAGGTATAAATACATCCAAGAATGATAGATTTGAGATGGAGTAAGGAATAAACTCAGGATGAAGGAAGGAATAAATTCAACAGGGCATTTTTTTTAAGATTCATTTGTTTATTTTGAGAGAGAGAGAGAATGAGAGGGAAGAGCAGAGGGAGAGGGAGAGAGAGAGAGAGAATCCCAAGCAGACTCCATGCTCATCGTGGAGTCCGGCTCGGGGCTCCACCTCATGACGCTGAGATCACCACTGGAGTTGAAACCAAGAGTCATGTGCTTAACTGACTGAGCCACCCAAGCACCCCTCAACAGGGAATTTAAGTTAATATGGCTATGGATGAAAAAACTAACAATATATGTACAGACTGGAAAGACCTGTTCCACATAATATGAAAGATGATGACTTAGGAAACATGACAGTCTGAAAGTCAGATATGTACCAGCATTAGTTCTAGGATGTATGAAAAAACACTATAAAACAAAAGAATCTGAAAATAATCTTGTTATCTTTGGTCTGCTAGCTTTAGGAAGCCATGGAAGCCACTGAATAGCTCTTGCAGATTCTCAGCTATCGTCTATAAAAGTATCTTTTCTTTTTCTCTTTCCTTTATTCCTTTTCTCTTCTTTCTTCTGTCTCTTATTCTTCTCTTCATGATTTCTAAACCTTTGTCTTACGGTGTTGCTGGAAATAGCTCAAATCTTCTGTGAAAATATGGCAATATCTTTGCCATATTCTCGTCTAAGAGTTTTTATTTTGTTTTATTTTTGTATATCTGTGATAGCATTGGACTAATAGCTCCTTGATGTTCAGGCTTGATCTTTGACCTTTTAGGGAACTGTGATGCAGTTTTTGAAGCAGGATCATAAGAACCGTGGAGTTGATGATGAGGCCTAAATATCCAGAGGAGTCAGTTGGCCAACTCCAGTTTCTGCTAGCATGAGATAGTATTTTAGAACAAGGTTTCCAGACTTTTCTGCATCATGACGGAAATGATTTACTTGTATGGCAGACTATAGCCTGGCTCTCCCTGGCTCCCTGAAGTCTGAGGGAGGGGTCAATATTTCAGCACATCTATAATTCGTTCTTGGCACACTGGTTGGAAAGCTTTCCCTTGGAGAAGAGGAATATGTTACTCTTTGTTTAATACCTTTTGTTTATTTTAGCATATAATAATTTACAAAGCACTTTCATACTTTATTTTACTCCAGTTTTTTCCATACTCCATTTTACTCTTAGTTTTACTCCAGCCATATCAAGTAGGTGGAGCAAATAATATTACCATGTTTGAAATGAAAAAATTGAGATTTTAGATAAAGTGCTTTGTATGAGGTCACACATGTAATAAGGGGTGGATCAGGAATTCAAATCCCAGGTGGAAAGAGTCCCTGGGAGTTAAGTCAGTGGCATGTAACCTCCAGGATGGCCAGGACCCTATCTGTTTTGTTTAAGTGCTACTTTCAAGGCATCAAGGGCAGGGCCAGGTACATAGAAGTCCATAATAGTTGTCAGTTATTAAGTGCTACTCTGGCTAGGCAGTATGCTTTGTAGATGCTATATTAGGTATTATATTAGGTATATTAGATATTAGGGATTCTTATTTTCTATTAACAAATGAAGAAACAGGTATATAAACCAGCAGAAGTAATTAGTCCAAGGTCACCCAAGCTGTAAAGGAGAATCACAGACTAATAACCGAAGTTGCTTGCTCCAAAGCTTGTACTCTTTTCACTATAGTGACTGAATGATTTCATGACATTGTAGGGTAGAGATTGGGTTCCATTTAAAGTGTGTGACATTGGGGGCAAAGGTGATGGTGGCAAAGGGAGCTAGCCAAGTGGACTATTAAGTGTTTATTTTTGGCAGTTTTGTGGTTGAGTTCTAGAGATGATGGCTGTCTTTTTTAAAGGATTTCCAAGTTGTTTTGAGATGGGGGTGGGATAGAAGAGTAGTGTGATACAACTCAGTGACTTGGGCCGTTGGTGCTATAGGTGCTCCTAACAAAAGGGTTAAAAAATATAGATCCTCTTCATATATGACTTAATATTAATTACAGATTATTTCCTAAAGGTAGGTTTACAGATTATTTTTATTTGTTCTTTCTGTATTTACTAATTTTTCTCTACGGCATATTAATGACTTTTAAAAATAATTATACAAGTAATATATAGTCTTCAAATTAAAATTCAAATAATATAAGCAGATGGAATGAGAGCTTCTAGTGCTCTAATCCCTCTGTCACCCACATCCACTGTCAGTTAATTTGCATGGTAGTTGCTGGGGATTAGATGAAATAGATGAGGAAGCTCTAAACCAGCTCTCATACTGTAGCAGTAGCCACATGTGGCTATTTAAATTGTTTAAAATAAAATAGGAGTAAAAATTCAGCTCCTCAGTCACATCAGTCACATTTCAGGTGCTCAGCAGCCACATGTGGCTAAG